CTCATATGCTACTAGTCAAGTGTCTACGTGCTGTACTTTGCCTTCCCTCCCATCAGACCATGAGCTGAGTAGAAATAATGATCAGTCCTTGAGGCTACCCTGGGAGCTAAATGTGGATGTACCGAAAGAGTTTCAGAAGGCAGAGGAGATGAGAGATCAGGAGTGACTATTAAACAACAGTAAGGGATGGAGCTGTGTGAGACTTGACCCACATGTTAAGGTTTGCCCATGGGCAGTGGAGTTTATGTATACATCATAATTACTCTGCACAGAAAGTGATGGGAGAGTGGATGATGGAACGATGTATATTAATAGGTTTAGAAAGGTCTTAGTGGGGAAAAAAATCGCATGCTTGTAAAATATAAATGTAACCTCAACACGATGATACTGATCTTGATGTCCTTCTTTCTGGGCCTCTTTTCATCTGCTGCTTTTCTGCCTCTTAGACTGGTGTCCTAATTGCACAATTAAAAAACCCCAATCTTCTCCAAAAGTAGCCCTGCCATGGCTAAGTGAAAACCTTGTTGTTTGTATTAAGATTCCTCAGAAGACTATGAAACAAGAAGAATATTTTTTCTTTTCTGGAGGGGTTCCTTGCTTGCATTGTCTAAATGCTTTCCCCCAGATAACCTGACTGCTGGTTAGCAACAGTTTTATTAATAGGACTTACTTCAGACTGAGTTATGTCTGACTTATCATGCACAGAGCCATGTTCTTGATTGAGATACAATGGGTTTATAAAAAAATGCCCTGAGATATGAAGCTGTGAAAGACATTAACAGTGTGAAGGCATGCATGCGTTCCCCCCTGCTGTCTCTGGGACAAACCCAGCATAATGCTATTGTTTAAGCAAAGAGAACACTAGTATTTGGGCTACAGCTGATGACACCAGTGACCAGGTGATGGGCCACCCCAAAGCTGAGACTGCTAAAACAGCAGGGAAGCTGTCATAACACTTCTTATTTGTTATGGTAAGGATTTAATTCAGACATCTGATATCTGCAGAGGACATGCAGCACAGAAACACACACCAGGGCAGGACACAAGTGGAAAGAGATTTTCCACCAACAGCTCTATCTCTCATATGGATTTGTATCAAATACAACCACTGTGAGCTTGGTACTGTGGATGCTTCATGCTCATAGGAATGTCCTTGCTTTAAAACCTCAGTTGCCAACAGAAAAAATGCTAGGGGAAACTCAATTCTGCTGAAGTGACAGTATATTTTAAACAAACAAGCAAGCCCCCAAGGGAAATCATCCTAGTCTACTTCCAAGGAACAGGAGAATGTAAAGACGTATCTTGGAAAGCAAGTTCATGTTAAACCTGTGGTTCTGCAACCTCCAGCTTTGGGTGATGAGGGCTGCTCTGCTTACTGAGCTCAGTGAAGTGTGGGATGATGCTGGTGTAAGTGCCTGGGGGCAGGAGTGGACCTGAGCATCGGAGATACCACTGTGGGCTTTCAGTCCCTTGGATACTCATTGCAGCAGAGCAGCAAAAGTAGATCTGCCTCAGAGAATGGGTATGGGGGTCACTGTCTCTGGCTGCACCTTTGCTCACTGCTTGCCTTAGCCTGACCCCATTTTTACAGCCTGTCCTCCGGATCCCTTCTGTCTGGGTTCTCTGGGACAGTGAATCTATTGTCCTCATGGACAGATGCACCCTTGCTCTTGGTACAAGGAGATGGCTTTGGTTTTGCATGATCCACACCATTCTGAGGGAGATGTGAAGGAAAACAAAACCCTAGCCATCTTCAGTCTAAATATAGCCCAGGGTTGGTTCCATCCATCTTCAATGATACCTTGTGGCTGGGTAAATGATGACTCGCCTTTCCTTACAACTCCATGGTGGTATGTGCTGAGAGGGGAGAAAATAGAAGCAGCAGCCACCACCCACACATCTCTGCAGCTTTCCTGAGAGGAAGCCATGCCTGGGTGGTAGGTCTGGTCAAACCATCTGCCACTGCCTGACCAGCTGTCACGCATGGTATTCCAGCTCCAGCTGGTGTTTTTATAGAGGCCATGATTAGAGGTGAGGCACGTTCAGCCCTTTAGCTCAAACCTTCCTTTTGATCCAGCTGTGGGAAATTGTTTTTTTTTTTTTTTTTTTTTTTTTTTTTTTTTTTTTTCCCCCCTCTGGCACAGTTTCTCCTGGCCTGCAGTCTGCCAAAGGGCTAGCTCACATTTTCTGGGTGGGGCTCACCAGATCAGAAAAGGACATCTACATCTGTGTTAGTCACCCGCACTCTTTATTGTCATTGCAGAACTGATTCATCCACTCAGTGAAAAGGAGGGCATCACTCATCTTCTCCCCAAGTTTAGACCTAAAACAAGTCAAATCACACCCTAGAAGCGCCCACTGCCCTCTACTGGTATACAGCAAATGTGGGGTCACTGTCACAGCTGAATTTCTACAGCTAAGTGTAGCTAAGATGAATTCTTCTCCAGGAATCATCCATCATAGTGATTTAAACATGAGTTGCCGGCAGCTCTGGCCTTATTTCACCCATGCTGGCTATTGATGCCTGAATAAACTCAACATGCAACTAGCTTCAGTCAAATTCTCAAAACTTGATATAATTACACAAACTGGGCATAAGGCTGCTGCTGACAATGTGCCTGTATCAATGTGTTCCCCAATGGGTATTTATTTCTAATTAAACTAAGGTATGAGGATTGGGGATAGCACCCAATCTAGATGATTATACATAACAAAAGTGTGTTTGAATCTTTCCATGTGTTAGAAAAGGGAAGAGTGTTGCTATTCTTTTAGGGGGTCCTTACTTGCATTTCTTAAATGCTTCTTTCCAGACAGCCTCCTGGCTGCCACTTAGGCAACTATTTTATTAAATGGATTTCATTCAAGGTAAATCATGGCTGAGAATTACCAGCAAAGTGGTGATCCCCTGAATGAGCTAGTTCAGATAAGGATTAAACAGGGCAGACACAAAAATAGTGGCCTGATTTTCAACAACTTGCCGGATCAGTGGCAAGTCCTGCCTTTTGAGTCCAGCAGAAGTTTTTCTGTTCTTCCTTCTCCTAAGCCAGAAGATGCTCAGAAACACTGTGGTAGGGAGAGATAGGCAGGGCACTGGTAGGTAATAGGAGTTTGGGGCACTCTGCATCTGCCCTGTAGACCCTCATTTTGTCCTATGAATGCTAGAGCTCCTTGTGCTGCTCACAGTATCTGGAGGCAGAAAATAATCTGAGAGTTGCCCATAGAGCCCTGGGTGGAATAAAGAGGTTGGCGTTGTCATGCTCTGCCATGTCACAGACATCCTACCTGGAGAGCTGGGGAGTTACAACAGCTCCAGCCTTTAATACGATGTGTCACATTGAATTTCACTTTGAGCCAAGGAAACAGGGAGTTTGCGTTTGAGGTTCTCACTAGGCCTTTGTTCCACTTGGCTGCTTTGTTAGTAAGGAACAAAATATGATACTAAACAATGAGAGGTGGTCAGCTTTGTAAGGAAAATCTGACCCCAAATGTGTGGGGTTGTACATATGTTGGGGAGAGGGGAAGGGTCGTATATGCCCACAGAGCAGTGCTTCCAAGGTTTTGCATTCAGGTACTGTTAAGCCTGTCCCAAATGCATGCTTTGCATGTATGCATTTGCTTGTTTATGCGTTTGCATGTTTATGCATACCAAAATACAGTTTCTCTTTATTTATGCATTCACCATAAGGGTGATCTGTCAGTCTTCCTGCACTGCAGGAATATCCCCATCAGCAAAGATACTCACCCTGCTAGTTTTCTGTGTGAGGCAAGTACAAATTCTGATATAAATTCATGTTGTTGACCTGTGACTGTTCATTCAGAAGTGTGGACATTACATTCTGACATTGTATTTCCTTATTTTGCATCTGAGACCGGCAACAGCCTGTGGGCCTCTTGTAGAATTTTTGGAGTCCAGAGCTGCTAGAGGGTACTGCCATGTAACAGTAGGGTGCGGGATAACCCTAAAACTTAGGAAAGAGGAGGAAATATGAAATGAGAGTAGATTTTTATTAGATATTGGAAATAAATTATTTCCTGTGAGGGTGGTGAGACACTGGAACAGGTTGCCCGGAGAGGTTTTGAATCCCAATTCCCTTGAAGTGTTCAAGGCCAGGTTGGACAGGTCTCTGAGCAGTCTGGTCTATTGGAAGGTGTCCCTGACCATGGTAGCAGAGTTGGAACTAAATGACCTTTAAGGTTCCTTCCAACCGAAACCACTCTAGTATTCCATGGCTCTGTGTTTCTATGATGAGAAAAGACAGATGGCAGAGTCAGAGCAAGGTCCAGAGAGTTGTTCAGCAGTGGTTATTAGAGGATGCTTTAGGAAAACATACAAGAACCAGGCAAAACTTCCCCAGGACACTCATCTAAACATCAAACAGAGATTTCCTAAGCTAAGCATTTCTGTACATTATGTACTGTATAGAAATGAATTTATTTTCCAGGAAATGATCCTGTGACCCTTTACACATATGTAGACTGTGAGCATTCACAGTATCCCATGACCATCTTTCCACAATTTATCTGTAAGAATGAAGAACCACTTCCTTTACTGTCTTTTGAGCCTGATTCACGCCAGTTCATTTGATACTCCCAAGTTCTTCTGCCAGAAAAGACTATAGAGAGTAGATCCCTACCTGTCTACAGTTAAAACTCTCTCAGTGAAGTAGCCTGGGATTTAACATAATCATCTCTGGAGGGGACATCATCTTCCCTCTGGGGGAGTCACTTGGGATAGGGAAAAAAACTACATCAGGAACACAGGAAGGCAAAAGAATGGAAAAGGGTGTCTGTAGCCAAGTGGTGGGGGCAAAGGCTGATAAGGGAAGGCAGAGGAAAGAAGAAGAAGAATCTACAGTCTCTACAAGATTATTTTACTGAATTTATGAGTCAGTCTCTTTCATGGACCTCACAAGCATCCAGAACCCTAACACAGAGACTAACTTGGTGTTCTTGCTTCTGTTTTCTGTATTTACCTGTCTTTTATTCTTTGTCTCTTTCAGGTCGAATTCACCCCTGATCAGATTGAAGGTGAGGAAATTGTGTTTCTCCTTTGTGCATAGTAAATACCCTCACTGGGAGGTGCTGGCAAGTGCTGGGGCAAACACAGGTGCAGTATTTGTGCTCCACTGAGAACACTGAATTCATGGCTTTGCTCCTGCTTCATCCCTCCTCCAAATCCTCTGTTGAGTTGCTCAAGAGAAAAGGGGGAAGGTCATGCACTGTGCAGATTGGGTACTTATGTCATTAAAGAAAGCATCAGCTTCTCTGACAATGAGTCAAAACCAGAAAAGACACCAACCCCCCCTCAAATCCTCAGTCCAAGTATGTATATTTTCTTTAAGAAAACCCAGTAACAAACTATCAATCCTTTCAAGAGAATGTCTACCCTCTCTGCTTTTAAGAACATTTCCCTGTATACAGTCAGAATTAAATGTTTTCTAACAGCTTTCCAGAAAGAAGCAAATAATGACAACAATGGTGATTTTTTATTTTTTCTTTCAAAGCAAAACATCAGTGTTAGTTTCTGAAACCTTTGCCCCAGCCCAAGAAACTGATATTGAAACCTCAAGCATGAAGTTCTGGGAATACTACTACTGCAGCTGTCCTCTTTTTCCTCAACTACCAGCCTTTTACTTGAAGGGGTAATCCATAAATGGTAGCAAACATCTGGCAAAATTATTCTTTGGTCTTTTGGCAGAACTTGGCAGAGCCTATGAAATATGGTATCAGAAAATGGGTTAATTAGATGAAAAAAAAAAATAATCACATACTATCTAGTCAGGCTAATTCAGAGAAGAAAAATATAGAAGGAAGGATTTCCTGAACTGGAACCAAATGTGATAATGCCTTAGTGACTGAGGCTTTGCCACAGACTTCCAACATTACCTTCAGATTTTCAAGCCTCCCTTAATAGCTTTAGTTTCTGTTTTCTAACAACAGGTCAAAAGTAACATATGATTGAAGGCAACTGCCAGTTTGTGGGAACCTACCCATTTTCCAGTCCCAAAGTAATGGGAGAATCATACAAGAGGCACAATTCTGAGCCACAAACCTTTGAACTATTACAGAAACACACAACAGCTGGATATCTCATCAGCTTGTGTTTGGGGACTGGATAGGACCCATCTAGTTTCTATGCCTTGTTTTCTCTCTCCCTGAGGAGAACTAGCTCTAGAGACTATAGCAGAGAATGAAAGAAGAAAGAAAGGAGAGGAGAGGAGAGGAGAGGAGAGGAGAGGAGAGGAG